TTTTTTTTTTTTTTTTTTTTTTTTTTTTTTTTTTTTTTTTTTTTTTTTTTTTTTGATATCAAAACAATATCAAAACATTATCATAAACTTGTTGAATCTCACTAACATATGTCATATTGTATGATATGTTCTTTGCTTGAGAAACACCCACGTTTTCAAATATCCTTGAATAAAAAGTGATGCTTATATATTTTAAAAATCAACCAAGAGAAGGAAGCAAAAATGAATTTAAGTGAAAAAAAAAAAGGACAAAAATGAAGAAGAAGTGCCTTGTCTCCAAATAGGTGGAAGAAGGTGGTGGTGGTGAACGAAAACGAGGGAAGAAACTAAGCCAAGCTTGTGGTTCTCATCCCTTTCAAATCACAATTATTTAAAGGGTTTGCCTTCATTATCTTGAAAATTAAATTGTATTCCATTTATGTCATTTTTGAATAAATATCTTTCATTTTATTAGCCTTACAACACTATTAAGTGAAGGCCCATTAATTAAATAACTAAAATATGATAACAAATTTAAATATGATATATGACATAATGTTTAACACTTAACCAGACAAGAGAAACAACTTATTAAAAGAAACATACATATATTATAGGGATTTCTAAAGTTTACTCGGAAAGGTAGATAACCCAGAAAATATAGTCTGAGAGAGAGTTAGAATAATAAGGAAAGATGCAGCACAGAAGGAGATAAAAGCCCATGGCGTATTACAATAGTTATGCATAAGTGAAGCTCGTGCCTTGTTCCATCGTCCATCACAATGCTTACGTAAAGCTTCGCTGGTATTGTTGAAATCGCCCTTACATGGTAGCTCAACAAATTTGCAGAGATTGTTAAACAAGTTTGAAACTTCTTTATCACTACCTCCAATCTTGTTGATTATGATTCCAGCTTTCACAAGTAAATTCACGTCTTTCTCCTTGCTTATCAAATCATCCATGAATGCGATATATTGGATACACTTGCTTTCATTTCCCAAGGGAAAATGTTCAAATGCTATCAGATTTCGCATGGTGTATTCGAAGACATCATTAATAGTTAAACGTGGAATTGTGAAAATCCCATTTTCGAAACTTAGGTTCATTGCACATTCGGCATTTTCTGCTTTCTTGATGGTGACACCAGCCTTGTGAAGCTCAGTTATCGATGGAGGAGTTATAGGACTATTATTATTATTGTTCTCTTGAGACGTGTTTGAGACGAAGTAGAAGCTTAAAAAATCGATAAAGTGCTTTGGTTTTCTCAACAATATATCTTTAAGAGAATAATTGTCAACAAGTTCGCGTTTAAAAAACATACCGGTTAAGTATTCAAAGGAGATGGAGATTGATTCTGGTATGAGGCCGAACAGACGTTCAAGAAGGAAGAAAGGGACTTGATTTTCCAACATAATCAAATCAGTAAATAGCTCGGTGGATCTTTGGTGGAAGGTAAGATCTAAATTGTTTGGAGTTTGGAAGCATGTATTTGGGTAGTATCGGTTATGATGTTGTATCAAGAACTCTACTAGGAAACAACCATCCACAACCATCATGTTAAGAAAATTCTCATCATTCATGTTTATGGGTTCTCCATAGCAATTTCGAACTTCCTTCATCAAAGTTCGAGTATTGTTCTTAAGGAGCTCAAAGGAATCCATCGGGTTACCTAGATAGCTTAGAAAATTCGAACAGTATCGAAGCTTATATGGCTCAGAGGCTAACAAATCCTTTCGGTGATGATGAAGTGGACCTATGGAAATGACTTGAGGGGTATAGGCTCTATGATGCATATTGCGTAACAGTTTAGGAACTCGAAAGATGCTACATTTTTCATTAACAGGAGGTAGCTTGCCCAACATTTCTTTTATGGATAGTACAACATTAGGATGAGGTTGTTCACCTTGTTTAGCTTCACTATTTTTTGGCATATTGTATGATTTGTCGTTTGCCTGATCAACTTCAGTCTGACTATTTTCTATTTCAAACGAACATTCACGTTTTCAAATTTCCACATATATTTAAAAAGGAACGAAAATAAGGAACCAAAAATGAATTTAATGAAAAGAAAAGATACCTTTGTGTGCAAATTGATGGAAGAAGATGGTGGTGGTGAATGAAAATGAGGGAAGGAAGTGGAAGAAATAAGAAGGCTAAGGTTGGGATGACGAAGTAAACTACCACTAATGGCGGCCTGACATATATGATGGCATGGAGGAGTAAATATATAGACAGCTCAAGGACTACCACTCACTCTTCATTTCCATCTACCTTCCTTCAAACTAGTGCTTCTCCTCTCTCTCAAATGACGATAAGTATTAATGAGACGTGAAAAGAAAAGAGAAAAGTATATATGAATAGGACATATTGGGTTCTAATTTCCTAGGGGCTTTTTACTTTCTTGACAGTGACATTAGACTCGTGGAGCTTACTTATGCACGGAGGAATAATAAAATAATTGTCATCAATGTTGAAGCATGATGGGAACAAAAAATGTCCTATTTGGATGTGTAAATTTCTCGACGAGTTTTGAAATCGTGAAGCTCACGACGATATATAACCGATTAAATCGGACAATATCTATTAGAAATGGATTTGGGCTATAAAATTATTTAATCGTACTAATTTTTGTCATATTATAAGATATGTTGTTTCTTTGATGTGGTGGGATCTTATTATTTTCCACTTGACTAAAATAAAATAAACAAAGTCTAAAGTTTTAATTTTTTTTTTCTATCAGAAGAAAGTACCATTTTAATTAGTATTTATTTATTTATTTAATTATTTTTTCGGACTCATCTATGATTATTATTGTTTTTGTTTTTGTTTCACATAGTTTTGAATCCAAATTGATGGAGTTCTCACTTAAAAGTTGAAAATGGTATGAAGTTTGAATATAAATTTAATAGACCCAACTTGAACGAACATTAAGTTGTTGAATTCCAATTAAGAACTATGTTTGAATCGAGTGCCTACATGCTGTAATACTTGTGTTGCAACGACGTCATCCAACGATGACGACGACACTTGCAATAATCTTTCATTTGTAATATGAGAGAATATTAATAATAAAACTTACGGGGATATAACAAAAAAAAAAAAATATATTTGTAACGGATAGAATAAGATGATGAAAAATTTTGATGGTTCAACCATTGATACGTTATTAAATGATATATATAATTTAATTTATGGATCCTTACAATGTTGCATGGTTTGTTGTATGACAAACAATAGTGGAAAAGAGTAAAGAAAAAGAGACATTACGATTTAAAAATGAAGAAAGGAATAAATATATGAGTAATTAATAAGTCCAAAAATTCCCATTTTATTAAGTCCAAAATAACTCAATTTAAGTAATAAAAAATAAAATATATACTTTCCCTAAGCCCTCAATTTCTATTTTTGGATGATTACCACTAAACCATTTGCTTTATTTGGAATGGAAAATAAAATCTAATTCAACCATGTTCATAATAATAAATTAATTAATTAAAATTTTGAGATTAAATTATATGAGTTAATTAAAAAGTTTAGTATATTAATTTTTTAATTTTATATTTAATAAATAATTAAGATGTTTTTTTTTTAAAAAAAAAAGAAAGTTCAAAAATTTATTATTGAATTTGTATTTTAATACCCATTTATGAAGAAAAAGAAATTAATATAGGATTCGATAGCCTTTGAAAGTAAAAAAATAAGAACCCCTTCATTGATATTTTGAGAATGTATTTTGAAGTGCCAGAGAGATTGTGAATTGGGTCAAAAAGTAGTGAGTACGAACATATTTACAGCTTGGGAGATGCCAACTTAATGTCTCATTGTCATTTTACTCGATAAAGCATTCTCTTATTTTCTTAATAATACTATATCGGGTAGTTGAAATCTTTTAAAGACATATAATTTGTAATATAATATTTTTGAAAAGTGATATTCGAATATTAAGAATTATATAAAATCACGTTAATTTAAAGTTTTTCATCTTCGTAAGTGAAATTTAGAAAGTATTTTTGTGATAATTGTAATGGTAAATGGATTAAAAGATAAAAGAAAGTTTTCTCTCTATGCAAGCATTTGTAAAAGCACTTTGCTTTCTTTCTTCTCAATTTTAATCGAGCGTTAGGTATAAATATTATCAAAATATTTTTTTTTATCAATATAAATAAACATAATTCAATAATAATTATTGAGGTATATTATTAATATATTTAAATTTTTATGCTTGACTATTAATTAAATATTTCTATTATGTTTAATTTCTTAACTATCATAAATTAATACAGACATAATAATCCTGAATAACTTTTATGAATAACTTTTATTAATAAGAATTATTTTTTATAATTTCTACTAATTAAAAAAAATATAATTTTATAATTTTGATCGAACATAATCTAACAATAATTAACATATATTAATTTAAAAATAGAAGTTTAAACTTTTATATCTTACTTATTTTACTTCAAAAAAAATTAATTTAATGAATCAATTTTTACCGTTTAAAAAACTATTTCCTCTTCATTAAAAAAGAAAAAAAAAATTGAATGAGCGGGACTCCAATTGGTTACATCTACCGTATTCTCGAAGGATTCTCGTATCTTACTTTCCTTTTTACTTTTAACTTAACTTATTTATTAATTAAATATTATCATTATATTTAAATTCTTAATTATTAATTTACCTCCTCAAATAAATTTGCACTATAAATTAATACAAACCTAATAAGCCATAAATATTAATTAAAGACAAATATATATATATATATATATATTAGACGTTTTCTAATTAATTCTTCCACTATAAATATAATTTTGATGAAAGAAAAGTTTGAAAGAATATCTAAAGTAGTCGACAAAATAAAACAAACAAAACTTTAATTTTTTTTTTCTTTTCTATAAGAAGAAAGTACAACTTTATTTATTTATTATTTTTTTATTCTTATCATTTCACATGGTTATGAACCAAATAGATGGATGGAGTTCTTACTTAAGCTAAAAAGGGTACAGTTTGAACTTACATTTAATAGATCCAACTTCGACGTGAGTTGTTGAATTCTAAATTCAGAAAAAACACAATTTGAATTAGATCCAATTAAGAACGTTCTTCGAATCCAGTGACTACAGCGGTAATGGTATGTATAAGAGTGAGGGCAAGAAGGACGATGAGCCATGGCGTACTGAAATAGTTGCGTTGTAACGACGTCATCCAACGATGGCGGCAGCCCTTGCAATAATCTTTCATTCTTTTGCAATCATAATTGTAGTAGTTGACTCCAACGCAGATGTGCTTACAGAGGTTGTTGAATAATTGGGTAACCTCTTTGATACTACCCAAGCCGTTCCGTATGATTACTCTCTCAATCAGCAATTTCACGTCTTGGTCTGACTGGACCAAGAACGGCATAAACACACCAAAGTTGCTCACCTCGTTCCTTAACTCACTGCCAATATGGCATTGCTCATAAGCTATAAGGTTCCTCAAACGCTTTTCAAAATTGTTGATTAGAGGCAGTTGTAGACACCTACTTTGGTCATTAAATTCTATGTCATCCCCCGTCCTGAAAATAACGCCGCATTCGTGAAGTTCGGTGGCATTCGGTGAACGTTTCATGGGAATATGTACGAGTATTACGCATTCTTACTAAATCAACAAAATGATTCACGTTGTCAGCGGAATGTTGTTTGATATCAATAAAAAACAACTCTGGGTTATTGTGTTGGGATAAATAATTAACAACAAATTGAATGAAACTCTTATCTTTCAGTGAAGGTTGAGAGTGGAGGAAGAGGTTGTATAGAGACCGGAGAAAGAAGAAGGGAAGCTGGTTTTCAAGCAGCATCAGATCATCAAATATTTCATTCCAGGATTGCCATAAATTCCCCGTGTTTGGGGTCTCCAAGTTTGGGTACACCCAACTGAAGAGATGCAAGACCACGAAACAGGCATCTAAGACCAGAAGTTCCACAAATTCATCCCTGCTCATCTCCATGGATTCTGCATAACAACAGCGAGCTCTTTGTTCCAAAGTCTAGACTGTTTCTACAATTGTGTTCACGGAGAGATGGCTGAGATTAAGGAAGTGTCGAAGGGACATGGGTTTGAGTGAATTAGCCATAAGATCTTTTCTACGGTAGTGAAAAGGGCTGATAGAGATGACAGTGGGCGTATAAGCTCCTGGGTTGATGCTGCGCAGAGGTTCTGGAACCTTGTAAATGGTAACGTCGGAAGAATAGGATGAAACAGGTTGTTGAAGAATACGATTAATGGATAGTACCACTGGATCACAAGTACAGTGAAGATAAAAGCCTACGGCGTATTACAATAGTTATGCATAAGTGAAGCTCGTGCCTTGTTCCATCGTCCATCACAATGCTTACGTAAAGCTTTGCTGGTATTGTTGAACTCGCCTTCACATGGTTGTTCAACAAATTTGCATAGATTGTTAAACAACTTTGAAACTTCTTTATCACGGCCTCCAATATTGTTGATTATGATCCCAGCTTTCACAAGTAAATTCACGTCTTTCTCTGTGCTTATCAAATCATCCATGAATGCGATATATTGGATACACTTGCTCTCATTTCCCAAGAGAAAATGCTCCAATGCTATCCGATTTCGCATGGTGTGTTCGAAGAAATCATCAATAGTTAAAGGTGGGATTGTGAAAATCCCATTTTTGAAACTTAGGTTCATTGCACATTTGACATTTTCTGCTTTCTTAATGGTGACACCAACCTCATGAAGCTCAGTTATTAATGGAGGAGTTATCGGGCTATTATTATTATTGTTCTCTAGAGACGTCTTTGAGACGAAGTAGAAGCTTAAAAAATCGACCAAGTGCTTTGGTTTTATGGACGATAGATCAGGAAGAGAATAATTGTCAACAAGTTCGCATTTAAAAAATATATATGTTAATTCTATAAAGGAGACAGAGGTATATTTGGTATGAGGCGGAACAGACGTTCAAGAAGGAAGAAAGGGACTTGATTTTCCAACATAATCAAATCAGTAAATAGCTTGATAGATCTTTGGTGGAAGGTAAAATCTAAATTGTTTGGAGTTTGGAAGCATGTATTTGGGTAGCGTCCGTTGTGATGTTGTATCAAAAACTCTACTAGGAAACAACCATCCACAACCATCATGTTAACAAATTCCTTATCATTCATGTTTATGGGCTCTGCATAGCAATTTCGAACTTCTTTCATTCAAGTTTGAGTATTTTTCTTAAGCAACTCCAATGAATCCCTCTCATTACCTAGACGGCTTAGAAAGTTCAAAAAACGTCGAAGTTTATATGGCTCAGTAACTAACAAATCCTTTCGATGGTGGTGAAATAGACCTATGGAAATGACTTAAGGGGTATAGGCTCTATGATTCATACTGCGTAACAGTTTAGGAACTCGAAAGATGCTACATTCTACATTAACAGGAGGTAGCTTGTCTATCATTTCTTTTATGGATAGTACAACATTACGACGAGGTTGTTCACCTTGTTCAGATTCATTAATTCCTCCTATATTGCATGATTTGTCGTTTGCCTGATCAACTTCAGTCTGACTATTTTCCATTTCAAACTAACATCCACGTTTTCAAATTTCCTCGAATAAAAAGTAATGCATATATACTTAAAAATGAAGGAAAATAAGGAAACAAAAATGAATTTAATGCATAGATACCTTGTATGCAAGTTGGTGGAAGAAGATGGTGGTGAATGAAAATGAGGGAAGGAAGTGGAAGAAATAAGAAGGCTAGGTTGGGATGACCAAGTATACCACTAATGGCGGCCTCACATATAAGCCCATACGAGGGAGAGAGTGAACATTATAGGTTAATTAAAAGGACATTGAGATAGTGTCCTCTATTTCTAACCATTTAAGACTCACTCTTAATTTTCATCTACTTTCCTGCTTCTCCTTCATCTCACAATTGTTCCCCAGCTAGACTTGTCTTCTTCGTACTAATGTTTTTAATTTTATTAGTTTTGAAGACATTATACATGCATGCTTTATATCTACCAAAATTAAGTGCATTTAGACCTCGGAGTCCAAAGATAAATGGTTTGTCTAGAATTTTTTTAATTAAATTATTAATAGTTTTCATCCAAAACTAAAGGTGACCACCCCGAGTAAAGGTAAAGGTAAAGGACAATGAGACAGTGTTGTTGGCAGTCACACTTCATTTCTATCTACTTTCCTTGATACTTGTGGTTCTCCTTCCTCTCCATTGACAATTTATTTAAGCGGGTTGGTATCTCATAAATGTCGTATTTGTACTACCTACATACTCGAGCATCTCTCACTCTTCATTATTTTGTCTGCTGAGAAGTTCAGGTATAAGAAATTAGTATAAGAGAAGTAAGTTTAGATTATCTTTTTGATCAAATATCTCAAGATAAAAATATTTGTTTGAGGTTCGAATCACACCACAAACAGGATCATCTTGTCCAACTTGAATGATTTTAAACATGCAATTTGAGCTACATAGAATTGTAAAAAAATTCATTAACTAAAGAAAGCACAAATGTTGTTTTTACTGCATTTTCTAAGTTTTTCTTACAAATATAACATACATGAGCTTATATGCCCTTAAAATGAAACTCTTAACTTTTCTGGAGTCATTTCAAGAGTTTGTAACATTCCTACTTTATGATCATAATTAGTTATGATACCGATGTAACCTAAAAATAAATAAAAATGTCTTATCCAAATGTCATTAAATTATATGTATATAATTTTATTTAAGGGACTCCTACCATTCTATTTTGCTTCTTCTATGGAAAACAATGTGAAGGAAGATATATATATATATAAATATAATAAATACAAATTATAAATGATTAGTAAAGGTAGGGTAACAGATACAAATATAACATATTTTTTATTTTTAAAAAGAACATTGGTAAATACAAGGATAACATTTATAAGGTAAAGGAGCAACCGAGCAAAAACAAAAAAAAAATATATATATATATATATATATGTGGATAGAATTGACTATTTCTGAAATGTAGATATGCCAGAAAATATAGTTTGAAGGATGGCCAGAATAATAACCGAGATAGCACCAAAGGCAGCCACAGAAGCCCATGGTGTATAAAAATAGTCACGTTTGAGTGTAGCTTTTGTGCTGTTCCAACGTCTATTGCAACGTTCAAGTAAGGCAGCACTGATATAATTGAAGTGGGTATCATCTGGGACTGTGACAAATTTACAGAGATCGTTAAACAGTTTTGAAACTTCTTTAGCACTGCCTCCAATATCGTTGATTATAATTCCGGCATTCTCAAGTAAATTCACGTCTTCCTCTGTGCTTATCAAATAATCCATGAATGTGATATATTGGATACACTTGCTCTCCTTTGCTAAGGAAATTTGCTCAAATGCTATCAAGTTTCGAATCATGGTTTCAAAGTTATCATCAATATGCAAAGGTGGAATTTTGAAAATCCCATTTTCAAAACTTATGTCCATCACAAATTTGACATCTTCTGCTTTCTTGATGGTGACACCAGCCTGGCAGAGCTTAGTTATTGATGGAGGAATAGTAAAATCAGTTTCATCAATGTTGACCACAGAAGACCCCGTGGAAACGACAAAGTACAAGCTTAAGAAATCGACGAAGTGCTTCGGTGTTCTCGGCAAGGGAGTAGAAAGTTCATATGGATGTACCAATCCATGTTGCAAAAACACGTTTGCAAGCTCTATAACGGAGATGGGGGTATCATCTTCTAGTATAAGTTCAAACATATGTTCAAGAACCGAGAAAGGGATTTGATTTTCTAACTTAATCAAATCAAGATCTATATCAGGGATTCTTTTGTAGAATGAATAATCTACATTGCTTGAAATGGTAGGGAAGACATCTTGTTTGTATTGGCCATAATGTAGTATCAAAAACTCCACTATAAAACCACCATCCACAATCATCATTTCAATAAAATCTTTGTCATTCATGTTTATGGGTTCACCATAGCAATTTCGATATTCATCCACATAACTTTGAGTATTTCTCACAAGGACCTCCAATGGGTTTCCCGGGTTATTCAAGCATTCCATCTTATTACTCAGACGAATTAGAAAGTTACTAAGACCTTGAACTTTATACTGTTCTGTGGTTATCAAATCTGGACTTCGATGGTAAAATGGACCGATGGAAATGACTTGAGGGATATAGGCTTTATTATTCATCTCGCGTAGCAGTTTGGGAACTCGATAGATGCTAGGTTCTCTATTAACAGGAGGTCGTTGTTCCAGTCTATCTCTTATAGACATCACAACATTTTCACAAATTTGTTCAACCTCATGAATTTTTACCATATTATAAGATATGTCGTTTGAACCGAAAAATATCAACGTATTCAAATTAGCTTGAACAAGGAACCATGCATATATACTTTAGAAACTAACTAAATAATGAATATTTTACAACTCACACAAACTAATTTATAAATAATTAATAAAAAATAAAAATAAAAATAAAAAAGGAGCGAGGAAGAAGTACCTTGCCTGCAAATTGATGGAAGAAGGTGCTGGTAGCAAATGAAGATGAGTGAATGAATAGCTAAGCTAAGCTTGTGATAACCAAAGTATATATCAACTAGCGATGGGCGGGTAGGGCTAACATTATCACGTGAAGAGTCAACATAGGTCAATTAAAACCACAATGAGACAATGTCCTGTATTTCTAACCATTTAAGACCCACTCTTAATTTCTATCTACTTTCTTTCAAACTTGTGGTTCTCCTTCATCCCATAATTGTTCTTTCATTACACACTTAACTTCAAGTAGATTTGTCTTCTTCCTACTAATGTTTTTAATTTTATTGGTTTTGACGACAATGTTAAATTCTTTTTTCCAAAATTAAAAGTACATAAAGAGTAAACCTACGAAGGGAAGGACCACTTATTTAAGTTGGGTTGGTATCTTATAAATGTCCTCTTACTACTACGTTCATACCCAAACATCTCTCACTCTCCATTATTTTGTCTGACTCGTATCTTTAATTTTATTAGTCACCAAGACTCTATTTAAACTCCGTTAAGAAATTCTCTTCGTTTATATTTACGGTTTCTTCATAACAATTTTGGATTTCTTTCGTAGTTTTTATGAGGAATTCTGATAAGGAATCAAATTCACAGAAAGTTTCGATACCAAATGATAAGAAATCACTACAAAGGAATAAAGATTTAGATTAATTTGTTGATCAAATATATCAAAACAAAAACACTTGTTTGAGATTCGAATCACAACAAAAGTAAGATTGATCGTGTCCAGCTTGAATGATTCTAAACATACAATCTAAATTACATAAAATTACAAAGAAGTTTAGTCATTGACTAAAAAACACAAATGCTATTTCTACTACATTTTCTAAATTTCCCTTACAAACACAACGTACAAGACTTTATATAGCCTCAAAATGAAAATTTTTTATTTTCCACCAGGCATTTCATGAGTATTTAACATTCATACTTTATATCCATAATTAGTTACGATGTAAATGTAACTTGAAAACAAATAAATAGTCTTAAAACTTAAACACCATAAATCTAGTTTTTAATTATACATCATAAATTTGTAACCATATAAGATTAAATGAAGTCTGACTTAAAAGTATCTTAAAACTTTTGTTGTTATAAATGAAGTTTAATTCTTCTTAATAAGCATTTATACATATATAGCTTAAAAAGTTAATAGAGCTTAAATCATTTCCAAGTTTGAAAACAATTCTCTTTGAATTGAAGAAATCGGCCAAAGTTTTATTGGCACCCACCAGACATCAATTGCTTGCATGGACTCATAAAGGTAGACTAGACTCCCAATTTTACGTGTATATATAAATGTTAAATAATTAATGTCTTAATGTACTCTTTATTTTTATTAATTCAATATTATCCTTGTACGACCAAAAAACGTCGGTTTATATCTTGATTTATAAATATACATAAACTTTCAAAAAGTTGTATTAATACTTTAACCTATAAAAAAGTTTTAAAAAATACCCTTAAAACCATTCATAAATTTAGAAAAATCATTCTAACATACCTTAGCCACTGTCCTCTATTACAAAACAAAATGACTGAGTGTCCTTTCCAATCAAATGTATAAGAAAATACTATTTGTGAAAAAAAAATTAATAGTAAAACTTCTTATTAATAAGATTGGTAAATACATGTTAGGTAGGACTAGAAGATACATAAATGGATAAGTTTGACTGCTTCTGAATGGCTGATATACAAAAAAAAATATAGTTTGAAGGAGGGTAAGAAAAAGGAGCAAGATTGCACCAAAAACCGAGATAGAAGCCCATGGTGTACAAAAATAGTCATGTTTGAGTGTAGCTTTCCTCTTGTTCCAAGATTTATTGCAGTGCTCACGTAAAGCGTTGCTAATAGCGTTGAAGCGGCCATCACTTGGTTGTTCAACAAATTTACAAAGATTGTTAAACAATTTTGAAACTTCTTTATCACTACCTACAATATTGTTGACTATGATTTCGGCTTTCACAAGTATATTCACATCTTTCTCGGTGCTTATCAAATAATCCAAGAATGTAATATATGGAATACACTTGCTCTCATTTTCTGAGGGAAAATGTTCAAATGCCATCAAGTTTCGTACTATAGCTTCAAAGAAATCATCGATAATTAATGGTACTATAGCCAAGGTTCATCAAAGACTTGGAATTTTCTAATTTCTTCATGGTGACACCAGCATCGCAGAGCTCAAACATTGATGGGGGAGTAATAAACACCTTGTCATCACTTATTTCCTCTGAAGCCATCAAAGGTTCGGCCAAGAATAGGCTTATGTAGTCAACAAAGTAGAAGCTCAAGCAGTCGAGTAAGTGTTTTGGTGTTGAATATAGGGAACCAAAAGGATAATAATTACGTACTAATCCACGTTGTAAAAACGTAAACGCAAGTTGTATGAAGGAGATGCGGTCACCATTATTTTGTGGTATTAAGTGGAACAGACGTTCAAGAACGAAGAAAGGGAGTTGATTTTCGAGCTTAATTAAATCAATATATATCTGGTGGATTCTTTTGCATAAGAAAAAATCCAAACTCTATGAGTTTGAGGTAAGGAACCTGGGTAATGTTGGTTATAATTATGTATCAATAACTCAACTAGAAAACAACCATCCACAAGCATCACTTTTAATAAAATCCTCGTCGCTCAGCTTTATTTGTTCTGCATAGTAATTTCGAGCTCCTTCTACCCAAATTTGAGTAGTTTTCACAAGGAATTTCAATTCTTCAGCTATAAAATTCTTTTGACTACGATGGTGAAATGGACCGATAGAAATAACTTGAGGAGTATACATTGTATTATTCATCTCGCATAGAAGTTTGGGAACTCGATGGATGCTACATCCAAAATTATGAGGAGGCAGCTCTTTCATCATTTTTTTTTATGGATATCACAACATTACCACAAATACGTTCAGCCTCACGAATTTCTTCCATATTGTAAGACATGTCATTTACTTGATGAATTCCAATCTCACTAATTTCTTCTTTTACGTGATCAACTTCAATCTCACTATTATCCATTTTAACGGAGGTACTCACGTTTTAAATCTGTTTAAATAAAGAGCCATTCATATGATATTTATACATAAGGAAGAAAAAAATAAGAAAGAAGATGAAAATGAAGAAGTACCTTGTCTGCAAATTGAGGGAAGAATGGAAGAGATGTGTGGAGTAAGAAGAGAAGGTCTTGGAAGTAGAAGAAATAAGAAGGCTAAGGTTGGGATGACCAAGTAAACTACCACTAATGGCGGCCTCACATATATGATCACATGGAGGAGTAATTATATAGACAGCTCAAGAACTCGCCCTCACTCTTCATTTCCTTCAAAACTTGTTGGATACTTGTTCACCCAATATCCGGGTTTACATGAGTATCATATTGAAAAACTTTTTAATTAATCAAATAAATTTTAATGTTTTTAGAGGGTGCTTTTCTCACGACTACGCGAGTTCTGTTATCTACAAGATCGACTCCAACGATTGAGAGATACAAGCTATATGATGGCCAATTGTAACCGTCTAAGTTCACAGCTAGTTGATATTCTCCATTTTAGATCGTTATATTATCACTGCCAGCCTCTTGATTTTAAAATGCATATGACTTACGACAATACGTAATGGGTCAAAACGGACAATATCAGCTAGCAATGGACTTGAGCTGTAATAAATGGTATTAGAGTCAGACACCGAGCGGTAGCTTATGAAGTCTGACACCGGTTGGAGAGGCATTTCTTTATAAAAGTGTGGAAACTTCTCTCTAGTTTTAAAACTAGGTAGTCATTTGGTTACAAAGTTACCACAAAATTGTTCAATCTCACTAATTTATGTCATATTGTAAGGTATGTCGTTTGCTTGATAAACATGGGTATGACTATTTTTCAATTTGGACCGATAAGCCCATATGTTTTAATTTCCTTGAATAAAGAGGTATGAGTATATATTTTAGAAATTAAGTAAATGATGAATAAACGTAAGGAATAGGAATAGGAATGGATGGTTGGGCTAACATTTATGAGGTTAGGTGAATTAAAAGGACAATGAGACGGTGTCCTCTATTTCTAACTGTTTAAGACCCACTCTTAATTTTCATCTACTTTCCTCGTTCTTTTTCATCCCATAATTATTGTTTCCAGGTAGACTTGTCTTCTTCGTACTAATGTTTTTAATTTTATTGATTTTGAAGACAATATTAAATTCTTTTTTATACAACACGTTTTAAATCTACTAAACAAAGTGCATTTAAACTCTAGAGTCCAAAGATAAATGGTTTGTCGAGAATTTTTTAATTAAATTATTAATAGTTTTCATAAATGATCATGGGGAGGAGTAAACACACACAAGTGAAGGACAATTTATTTAAGTTGGGTTGGTATCTCATAAATCTCCTCTTACTACTACGTTCATGCCCAAACATCTCTCACTCTCCATTATTTTGTCTTACCTTACTAATATCTTTAATTTTTATTAAAACCTCATTAGGAAACAATCTCTAAACGCTGTCATTTTAAACAAATTCTCTTCGTTCATATTTATTGGTTATGCATAGAAATTTCGAGTTTCTTTCATCTAAGTTTGAGTAGTTTTCACAAGAAACTCTAATAAAGAATCAAACACAAGGAAAAGTTCTAATACCAAATGATAATGGATCACTGCAATAGAAAGATTTGGATTACCTTGTTGATTGAATATCTCAATGTAAAAACACTTGTTGTGTAAGATTCAAATCACTCTACAAACAAGATCCCTTACAAATATAACATTACTTGTTTTATATAATCTCAAAATAAAACTCTTGACCTCCCATATTTTGTTGCATTAACGAATCTTGATTCATTTTAATCCTTAAATTATTTCCTACGTTTAAAAACAATTCTCTCGATTGAAGGAAAAAAAAAACCTTCACATTAGATATCTTTACGTGTATATGTCAATGTCAAATA